CTCTACTTTGTTAACACAAAAGTAGACACTGGAATAATTAGTCTTCCCCATGCAGTCATTAAAATAATAAACTTCATTAATAGTTCATTTTGAAAAGCAAGGGAAAACATCAAGATTGGTCACAGAATGTTATCAAAAATTACACTCAAAAATATGTTCTCAAATATTTATTATCTTTGCAAACAGATATTTCAACTTAAAAAGCAACACTTTTCTTGTAGACATTTTTTATTACCATAACTGTCATGTTTATATGACATATAATGGTAATATTAACAGGATAAATGACGTAACTATCACAGGCTGAAAATGTGTAAAGAATACAACAATTAGAAAGGTATAATAATATTAATATTATTTTTTCCATTTATTCCATAGAAGATTAATACTATTAATATCAGTATATATATAAGAATATACTGTAAAATAAGTCAATGAAAACATATTTAAAGATGTAAAGACTATAAAGAATACATGTAAAGAAGATGGACATGGATAGGGTTACCAGGGATTAAAATTGAACACAAATACACAAGCCAGTCAAGCCATAAGACTTGCTTTTCTCACAAAAAAACAAACCAGAGTATGCACTATAGGAACAATCAAGCTAGAACCACAACAGGGCAATGATTTATTGCAAATGAGTCCATTTTATAGTTTGGCTCTTAAAGTGATGGCCACGCCCCCAAAGCGCCCAAATTAGAACGTTTTGGCGGGCTCTGACGTCAACGTCATGACGTCTGCGCACATGCGCCACATCATGAAAAGGTGCAGAGCTACTGCGGCCGGCGTCTTAACGGCCGAGATTAGAGGAGGAAATGTGAGGAGTGTCCCCATCGTGTGGGAGAAGACCCACAGGCTGGATCTCTGCCTGGGCAGTATCCACAGGTACCCTGACATATATGAGGTACATTCATTAAAAAGGATTTGTGGAGACAAGGGTATTGCTCTTTTTAAGGCCAAATAGTTGAATTGGATTTTTATATTTTATTTATCTTTGCTATTCTGGTCTACAATTTGTAATTTTGCTGTCTATTATTCACTATGGATTTAAAATGTTGAGAGTTTCAGGCCTAATCTTTATCACTTGTTTTTACTGAAAATACCCCATGAAAAGATTTACAGAGAAATTCATGCAGCCATTCTACAGAGCATCATTTATCACTTTAACGTGTGGGATTCATATAATGATGCAGGGGCTTTACTGCAATGAATATCTGTCACTTCGTAGAGTAAACCTCCCACTCTCCCTTGTTTCTTAATGGTTTCTTCATTTGACGAACAGTTAAGATTCGCAGTTTTATTCCTCAGTATAGTAATAAAAATTAATATACAAGATTTCTTTTTTAGGATAATTTTGAATCCTCTGCAGTTTTTCTTTATGAAATATCTATGACTAATATATTACAAAATTGCCATATACATCAGGCTAGAGTTTTAATGAATGAATACAGGACCTTTGCAAGTCCTGAGCTACCAGCCAGACTTTAACAGTTACGCACCACAGCAAGCCAATGGTTCTACTTGCCTGGGCTACACTTTGACATTTTAACTTTCAGCATATATTATGCCAGGTTACTCTAAAAGATTTTGAGCACAGTATGTAAAAACTAATAGATCATTATATTATTTTACTAGTAGAATGTTAAGGTATGGAATGATTCACAATATCTTCAAGGGATACTCCAACTCATTTAAAAACAATAAATATATATTTAATTTACGATGAGTATTACTAATAGATCCCTCATAACTTAAACCTTTGAGAAGGTTATAAACTTATCTGACATACAGCGCAGGTCAAAGCTCACAGTGCTGATCTCCAATCACCGTCCAATGTCAACCCTGCACTCGTGCGGACCAATCACGCTCGGTCTCGCAGAGAAACCTGTTATTTGGCACGTGCGCAATTTGAGCTGGCAAGGAGAGGGAAGGAAATGTAAAATTTAAACAAAAAATATATTTACTTAATGGAGGATGGTTGGTGGGAGAGCACGTGGGGAGAGGGAAGGAGGGGAAAGTAATCTTCCCCTTGCATGCCCCCAACCTGCAAAGGAGAAGATTATGTATATTGCTAGCACACTGTGTGTGGATGACAGACATAAAATATGCACAGAATTGAAATTATGCAGCCCAGAACAGAATTCCAGGCTGCCAAAGTCACATTTACCAGGGGTATAACAAGCCCCTGGCACACAAGTGCAAATATCTCTGAATGTGCAATGCTTCATTCAAAAACTCTGCACATCCAGACTCCTACCACTATGACCACTACTCATTGCTGAAGTGGTCATGGTGGTTGGAGTAACCCTTTAAGTTGCACACAACTGCATGATTTTGTTAATATGGCTATATATTTAACTATGTGTGTATTTTTGTGTTTAGAATGATTTTTGCAAGTTATTCTTACGTCGTGTATGGAAAGGCCAATTGATAGAACAAAACATGGCTATAGTAAAATTGTAATAAAGTAATATACTGCTGAGAATTCATTGAACTAATTAACCACGTAATGTAAGGAATAATGGACTTTGGCTGAGAGAACTCTGGATGAATAGTGTAACCAAATAACCTCTAATTCTAAGCATTACATTGCATCTGACAATTTAAGGATCACAGATTCCAAAGACATTAGACTTTGAGGCAGCACCATCTATTGGTTAAAGCTTTGTTATGTGCATTGACACAGTAATTTGCATATATTTGCATATTTTGTTTAATTCAAGTACAGTGCTTCAGGATTTAGGTTTTATACCTTTCCCGTTATGATCTTATGTGTGACACTTTGTCTTCTATTGTATTTCCCTGTAGCCTTTGTTATACTATATGTTTGTTTATGTTTTAGGCACTGTTTTAATTTCCTCACAAAAGGTTAATTGTAGTATTGTTAAACTGTAGTCCCATTCAAAAAATAAAGCACTGAGCCACTTCCTTTTGGAACATTGTCTAAGTGTGTTACTTTCCAGAAGTTTGGTGAAACAGTCTAAGGGCATGTCTACTGCCTGCCCTGTTCCCTGGTATTTTGGACCACAGAGTCATCAGATCAATAGACTCAATATCTAGGCCTCAGAGCCAAAAAGTGTCTTTATAAAGATGGTACAGGAACAGGCAAAGGAATCTATTCCTGTATGGGCAGAAGGTGCTGGCAAAAAAAAGTTATTTCATGCCTGAGTGGAAAGAGTGAGTAGAGGGGTTGATTCCTGATGGGCGGACAGAGTGGGATCGATTTCTGTCTCCAGTAAGAGGTACAAGATGCTATAGAAATGACTCTGTTAAAGGTCACACTGAGCTTTAAGATAGAGCATAAGGTGTGAGATTTGAGTTCCAATATGTCTAGTAGAACTAGTATTTTTTCTACATCTAAATTATTGATGATGCTGTATATGGAAATGTCCCACTATCAGTTTTATTTGGTTAAGAACACCCATTCCAGCTTTTTTTTTCTTGGCATTACATAGAGCACTGCACTAAATTGGGAATTGTCAGGAATATCAAGGGAATTTTACATTTTAGGCCAAAAAAAAGTAAAACTGAATATTTTTCCAAATTACCTATGGTTGCCTTGATAATATGGCCTAAAATTCAATTTGAATTAGCGATAGTTCACAAGTTATTGAGGTACCCTGCATGCCTCATCCCTTAAATTAAAATATAATTGGAAATAACATGTAGCAATGCCAGATGAGTGATAAAATGTGTTAAGAACACAATGGGTCCCCTGATTTCAGTGGTAATATATTTTTAAGGTCTATTTTTATCTACATATTTAGTCATCTTTAAATAGGGTAGCAGATAAAAGCCACACGTACTGTACCCAGTAAAGTTAAGCAGTTACCATATAGATAGATTTCACGTGTATTCAGAGCAGAAAGCACGGATGGACACAATATATATGAGGTTAGATGTTAAGAGGTGTCTAAGTGAAGTCCTTGGACTCCCCATGGTGTGGCCCATCACGTCCTGCAGTAACCTGCTGGATATTTTGAGGAAGATTGAAATTGGTCTCTGAAAGAAATATATAAAGTAAACTAAGTGAGTGACAGCTGTGCTTTCATTACAGCTATATATAAAAGCTTCCTTTATCTCGCATTAATGAACACTTCATTTTCAGAGCCTTCAGGCATTTGGCCTACCGTAGGGACTGCTAAATTTGCTCTGTGTTCAGCCACCTTGGAAGCTGGTTCTGAGTCATGATGCAGCTTACGTTGCCCGGAGCAGGTTCCAAGGCACATGAGACAAAAGGCTGATTTCAGTTCTTCATATTCCTGTTGAATACAAATTAACCTCATGCTCTGTTAAATAGTGCACATATAATGGATTTTAACCTTGCCGAGGCTGGAAGGTGCTACCTAGCAACACAGTGCTGTCACCACAAACAAAATAAAATTTTTGATGAGTTATTTTCCTAATCATGACCTCATTTTCTTTAAAGAACATTTTACGTTAGATTTTTAAAGGGTCACTCTAAGCAATATTACAACTTTGCATGTGCCATGGCCGCTGCACCCCCCTCTACTTGTATTGACCGCATCTTTGATGTGGACTGCACTACTGTACCATGCTCTTATACTTTCCTAGGCTTGCCTCATTTTTTGGAGCCACAATGGTCTACGTAATTTCAGCAACAACGGTTGCATACCTCTAGGTGTCATAAATTACATACACCAAGAGCCCTCTTCCTTGGCTATTCTAGGCCACACCACACATTACTTATTGCCCTTTCATTGACTCAGTTTTCCTGGTTTTGACTTCGCTCTGTTATTTGACTACTCTAACATCTGGAATCCTAGACCTTGGCTCATTTACTCACTTGCCCATAATTCTGTATCTCGTGACCTTGGCATATCTCTGTTTACGCTTTCGTCTGTTTGCAGACTGTATCCTTTACATTCATATGTTAAGCCAATCCACTTTATGGGCTGGTGATATGTTATTTTCCTTTAGTATAGGATACTATTTTCCCTTTGTTTTTTGTGTTGGGGTCATAGTGTGTAGAGCACCCTCTGCCTCCTCACAGCTCCTCTGAGAATGGTTAAAACTTGAGTAGTTTGTGGATCTAAGACAGCTCCTCAAAGCTTTTAATTAAGCAGGTGGTTGCTCAGTTCCAGCTGCCTGACATCTAGACTACTTTTAAGGTAAAATAGTTCCTGTAAGAATTGGTCAGAATAGTCCCAATTTAGTCAATGGAAAGAATAAATACTAAACGTGTAGCTGGTGGTGTCAGGGTTCCAGGGGCGTACCTAGAGCATTTGGCACCCGGGGCGGATCCTGTGCTTGGCACCCCCTCCCCCACCCACCTCCCCCCCAAAAAAATGTTAAAGGTTTTATTTCTTTTATTTTTACAATTTGTAAACTTTGCAAAACCGCTGTCAGCCCCTCTTACAAAACCCTTGTCCTGCCCTGCCCCTCCTACAAAACCTCTGTCCTGCCCCTTCTACAAATCCTGTACTGCCCCATCTACAAAACCCCCGCAACCCCCTTCCACAAATCCCCTGCTTATCCCCCCTTATAAAGACTCCTGTCCCAATACAAAACCCCCACCCCCTTCTACAAAATCCCTGCAGCCCACACACACACATTTACAGGCAGACAGTCACACACTCAGTTACAGACACAGTCACACACTCAGTTACAGACAGACAGTCACACACTCAGTTACAGGCAGACAGTCACACACAGTCACAGGCAGACAGTCACACATACACATTTCCTCCGTGCGGCCAGTTTATCAGCTGTTTGCTTGAGTGAGCTGTACTGGCCGCACGGCACCCTAACTACCATGGGACACTGTGCGGCCACAGCTCACACAGCCCCCTCCAGCCAGGGCCGGTACAAGGATTTTTGCCGCCCTAGGCAAAAGTAAAGTTTGCCGCCCCCCATGTGACATCACAATGCCCCAGCCATATGATTTGCCATGTTAACTAACGCCAGTGCTGCAGTGCCGCCGTGTTTACATTAAAAGGCCTGCAGGGACAGGCTAGACACCAGAACCACTACATTAAGCTGAAGTGGTTCTGGGGACTATAGTGTTTCTTTAATGTGAGGTAAATTAGAGATTAGTGCACGAATAATATACTAGATTGCCTACTTACAACCAGATGAGGATGATGATGGGCTCTAGCTGCCGTCTGGCTCCACTGGTCTGGTGTACAACAGGCTCTCTGGAGGCGGTTTGTAACTGTGGTCACAAAAATCACTGTTCTGGGAGAACGGGAAGCAGCTCCATTTTTTTGAGGGCCCTTTACACAGCTCAAGGTCTGGGTCCCAGGGTCCACCTTCATGTTCCACCAATGAGTTTGTTCACAGGGGGTGGAGTGTGTAGGGGATGTCCTGATATGTGTGTAAGGAATGCATTGTGTGAAATTGTGTTTGTATGTGTAAGGACTGCAAGGTGTGTTTCTGTGTATGTATGGGATGCATTGAATGTGTGTAAGGGTGCATTGAGTGTGTGTAATGAATGCATTGTGTGTTTCTGTGTGTGTAAGGGATGCATTGTGTGTAACGGTTGCATTGCTTGTGTATGTGTGTCTGTGTGTTTTTCTGTGTGCAAGGGGTGTATTGTGTGTATGTGATGAATGTCAATCTCTCCTCCCGCTCCAATTTCCTTCTCCTCCTCCCAATTTCTCTCACCACCGCTCCTATTTTCTCTCACCCCCGCTTCTCCTTTCTCTCTCTCACCCACCTTCTTTTTCTTTCTCACCCACCCCCTCACCCCCCCTTATTTCTCTCTTTCTCACCCCCCCTTATTTCTCTCTTTCTCACTCCCCCTTATTTCTCTCTTTCTCACTCCCCCTTATTTCTCTTTCTCACCCCCCCTTATTTCTCTCTCACCCCTCTCTCACCCCCCCTTATTTCTCTTTTTCTCACCCTCTCTCTCACCCCCCCCTTATTTCTCTTTCTCACCCCCCCTTATTTCTTTCTCACCCCTACCTCCCTGTAGCGTGGCCGAGCCCTGTATAGTCCGCGGGTACAGGGAGCTTTTGTTTCCTGTACCCGGCCGGACTAACAGGAAGTGCACACTCAGTGTCGGCAGTGCTGCAGTGAGGGAGCTGACAGGAGCGTTCCCTCCTGTCAGCCTCTCCTCAGGCTGCGCCCGGGCGGTGCGGTCCGCCCTCATGGAAGCACCGCCCCCCCCATGCTGCAGCCGCCCGAGAGCTCTGTAAATGGCACCCCCCACCCTGGTGGCACCCGGGGCGGACCGCCCCCCCCGCACCCCCCTTAGTACGCCACTGCAGGGTTCTCCTCATGTCATCCAGAAGGCTAGGCGTGGCTGACTCACAGGTGCCAAACAGGGGATTTGATCCTGGATCCTTAAGTGTTCTAGGCCTGCTTTCTTGCCTCTGTGCCAAGCTGAACCTATTCATTTAGTGTGGTTCTAGACCTGTTATCATTACCTTGTCTGTAGCACTGAGGGCTGGACTTCACCTGTGGTTGCTGTCTGTCACTCTAAATCCACCTGATTCAGTTTGCTCGTTATCCAGGTATATAACACTGCCTCTCCCTGAGGGTAGTGTCAGTTCGTTGTTTCCTGTTTTCTGTTTCCTTGATTCCCAGACTGACTTGGCTTGTGACCCTTGCTTTTTGGATTATTCTTTATTGCCTGTTCGCTGACCTGAGAAACGTGCCTGACTAATCTCCTAGATTTCCCTTGTCTATTTCTTCGTACCCGGTTATTGTTCCAGTCTAAACCCTCGTGCACAGATTCACAGCCATGGTAACTTCTTACCTGGTTACCGTGGGTTATGTTTATCTGCAAGGGTGAGCGAGCATCTCTGCACTTTGGACTTCCACCTCAAGATAAGAAAAGGTGGAGTAGAAATAGTGAATACAGTTCTGTTTTTCTCTTTATAAAGTAGTTTTTTCTTGTGAAAGTACTAAGAGAAAATATATAAAAGACACATAGCATATTACTGTGGGGTAAACATAAAAAAATATGTATAGAAACTATTCATATAATTGAAATGAAGTATGTTCTTTGGTGTAATGGGAAATTTAATGAAAAGCAATTCCAATGAATGAAAATTGAATAAGCAATTTATTTTATGGATTCAACTGAGGAAGCCATTGGGTGAAACGCGTCTTGGAATAATAGTATACTGCATGTATACTATTATTTTTATTTTTATGTATTTTTTACTAATATTTTTCTTTTTTTCAACTTTCTCAACTCTGTTCTGTTTTTCTTTTATAAAATCAATTGCTTATTCAACTTTGATTCAAAGGAATCGCTCTTTATTGAATTTCCCATTACACGAAAGAACTACTTATTTAATCAATTATGTGAGATATATATATATATATATATATATGTGTGTGTGTATATATATATATATATATATATATATATATATATATATGTGTGTGTATGTATATATATATATATATATATATATATATATATATATATATGTGTGTGTATATATATATATATAATTTCCCACACAGTATGCTATGTGTCTTTTCTATATTTTTTTCCCTTGGTACTCTCACAAGAAAAGACTACTTTATAAAGAGGAAAAAAAAGAAACTGTATTTACTATTTCTGTATCACCAACTACAAGTTTCGTATTTATTCTTTTTATTGACATTATTGAAACTTTTCTGATTAATTCTTACAGAAACTATCTTATCTTAATGTAATACTGTGACTTTTCATAGCCTTTTTTACATGTATACGTTTATGTAGGTTTCGGGGAAGAGGATCCCACACATGTATTTGAACATTTAGATACCTTTAAAATAGATACATTACTTAAACACTCACAATTAAAAAATCAACAGTATATAAAAAAAAATCAATATATTTTTTATAAATTACTCTTTGATATCTAGACTATCCAAATTGTGCATGCTGTGTGTGCATACCCCATAAGCAACTTACGAGCTCTCTCCACCCAGGGCTGGATTAACATAGGGGCTGATGGAGCTGCAGTTCCCGGCCCATGCCTATGGAATAGGCTTATTGATTTAAAATATACATATATATACAGGGAGTGCAGAATTATTAGGCAAATGAGTATTTTGACCACATCATCCTCTTTATGCATGTTGTCTTACTCCAAGCTGTATAGGCTCGAAAGCCTACTACCAATTAAGCATATTAGGTGATGTGCATCTCTGTAATGAGAAGGGGTGTGGTCTAATGACATCAACACCCTATATCAGGTGTGCATAATTATTAGGCAACTTCCTTTCCTTTGGCAAAATGGGTCAAAAGAAGGACTTGACAGGCTCAGAAAAGTCAAAAATAGTGAGATATCTTGCAGAGGGATGCAGCACTCTTAAAATTGCAAAGCTTCTGAAGCGTGATCATCGAACAATCAAGCGTTTCATTCAAAATAGTCAACAGGGTCGCAAGAAGCGTGTGGAAAAACCAAGGCGCAAAATAACTGCCTATGAACTGAGAAAAGTCAAGCGTGCAGCTGCCACGATGCCACTTGCCACCAGTTTGGCCATATTTCAGAGCTGCAACATCACTGGAGTGCCCAAAAGCACAAGGTGTGCAATACTCAGAGACATGGCCAAGGTAAGAAAGGCTGAAAGACGACCACCACTGAACAAGACACACAAGCTGAAACGTCAAGACTGGGCCAAGAAATATCTCAAGACTGATTTTTCTAAGGTTTTATGGACTGATGAAATGAGAGTGAGTCTTGATGGGCCAGATAGATGGGCCCGTGGCTGGATTGGTAAAGGGCAGAGAGCTCCAGTCCGACTCAGACGCCAGCAAGGTGGAGGTGGAGTACTGGTTTGGGCTGGTATCATCAAAGATGAGCTTGTGGGGCCTTTTCGGGTTGAGGATGGAGTCAAGCTCAACTCCCAGTCCTACTGCCAGTTCCTGGAAGACACCTTCTTCAAGCAGTGGTACAGGAAGAAGTCTGCATCCTTCAAGAAAAACATGATTTTCATGCAGGACAATGCTCCATCACACGCGTCCAAGTACTCCACAGCGTGGCTGGCAAGAAAGGGTATAAAAGAAGAAAATCTAATGACATGGCCTCCTTGCTCACCTGATCTGAACCCCATTGAGAACCTGTGGTCCATCATCAAATGTGAGATTTACAAGGAGGGAAAACAGTACACCTCTCTGAACAGTGTCTGGGAGGCTGTGGTTGCTGCTGCACGCAATGTTGATGGTGAACAGATCAAAACACTGACAGAATCCATGGATGGCAGGCTTTTGAGTGTCCTTGCAAAGAAAGGTGGCT